TAATTGTAATCAAGTGTTGATGTTATTTTGTGGAGCTCTGAGACATTGCATTTTTGTTGATGGTATTTTCTCAGCAATTCTCGCTGTTTGGAAAGAAGGCTTACAATGTTTAGTAACCCTCTACCCCCATGCTTTCTACTAACACACAGTCGTGCTACAGAACATCTAGGGTGGTGTAGTCCAAACATTGTAAGTTGTCGCCTTATATGTCTTTCAATGGTCTCAAGTTCTGTTTTACTCCATTTTATTATTCCGAACGAGTATGTCAGTACAGGTATAGCCCAAGTGTTTATGGCTTTGAATTTGTTGTTTGAGTTTAGTTGAGATTTTAGTATTTTTATTATTCTTTGGTTTAATGTTTTCTTTATTTCTTCTTTAACTTCTGTCATTTTAGATTTATGCATTTGCTTAATTCCTAAGTACTTATATATATCTCCATTTTCTAGTGCCTTTATATATCCATTTTCAGTTTCGTATTGATTTCTTTCAGAATAGACTCCTCTTTTCAGTTTCATTATAGCACATTTATCTAATCCGAATTCCATATTTATATCATTGGAGAAAGTTTCTGTTGTTTTTAGCATTGCATTTAAATCAGATTCTTTTTCGGCGTATAGTTTTAAGTCGTCCATATATAGTAGATGTGTTAGATTATATTTTGTATCACTTGATTTTAGATTTACGCCTTTTAGCTTTTTAAGTAGTGATGACAGTGGGTTTATGGCTAAGCAGAACCACAGAGGACTGAGTGAATCTCCTTGAAATATTCCTCTATTTATTTTGATTTCTGTACTTATTTTTGTTCCATTATTTGTATTGACACACAATTTAGTATTCCATTTTTTCATCATATTTTCTAATGTGTTTATCAATGTGTTGTCAATTTTATATAGTTTTAATACTCTTAATAACCATTTATGAGGGACTGAATCGAATGCTTTCTTATAGTCTATGTATGCCATTTCAAGATTTCTATGTTTTTGACGAGCTCTTATTGTTATGATATTGTCTATTGTTAATTGCTCTTTACAGCCCATAGAGTGTTTTATACAGCCTTTTTGTTCTTCAGCTATTATGTTGTTGTTGCTTAAATGATTATATATTTTTGTTGATATTATGGATGTTAGGATTTTATACATTGTTGTTAAGCAAGTGATTGGTCTATATTTGCTGGGATCTGATGTATTTTCTGTTTTTGGGAGTAGATATGTTATTCCGGAAGTGAGGAAGTCATCGGTTTGTCCTGTTTGTATTATTTTATCCATTGCTATTGCCATTGGTTCATGTATTGTTGTAAAGTGTTTGTACCAGAAGTTTTGTATTTTGTCTTGTCCTGGGCTTTTCCAATTGTGGGATTTCTTGAGGGCTTCGGTTAAGTCATCTTTTATTATATTTACTGAAGTCATATGTGGTATTTCTTTATTTTCATCTTCAATATCATTTATCCAATTAGATTCTTTATATTCCTTTGGGTTACTCCAGATTTCTTTCCAATAGTTTTCTATTTCATCTATTTGTGGTGTATTGTTAATATTGCTTGAGTTTATTTTATTTTGATTTCTATAGAACATTTTTTCGTTATTATAGAACATTGTATTTTGTTTTCGTCTTTCGCTTTGTTGTTTATATCTTCTGATTCTTTGTGCTAGTGCTTGAACTGTTTGTTTTAATGTGTCGTTGTAATTTCGGATTATTGATTCAAATTCAGGTTTTCCAGGTTTTGTCTGTAATAATCGGTATATATCTTTCAATGATTGGTTAAGTCTTTTTGATTTGTTTCCATTTAACACTTGCGTTATTCTTCCAATTACTTGTCTTTTCCCTTCTATACGTGTCTCTATTCGCTTTTGCCATTTAGGTATCATATTTTCATGATTTTGTTGACATGCGTTCTATTTTGTAACCTAATAGTCTCGATACTGCTACTGCTGCACAATACGTTATTGTATTAATCGCGCTCAACGACATATTATCTTCGATGTAATCTTTAAGTATATCATTTATCGTTATTATAGTAGATCTTGTTTTAATGCCACTTCTTATTTTTGGCAATTTAGGTCTGAATTCTATTTCAAAGTCTTTATATTGTTCTAAAGATGTTTTTAGTTCATTTTCTGCTGCTATTCCCTTTATTTCATCATTTGTATCGATTCTGTTATCTGTTGTTGTAGTTGTCTCTTCTATTTCTGGCACTACTTCTACTGTGGTATTTAATTCAGTTGTTTCATTTAATGATAGTTCATGTGCCACTTGTTGTTTGATTTCTTGTAATTCAATCGGGGATATTTTATTATTTTTTGCTAAGAATCGCCGTTGGTCTGCAATCCTTTGTTCCGTTACATTTAGTTCTGGATATTTTTGTTTGAATGCTAAGTATATTTGGTTTCTGTAATCAGTCATATTTGTTTCGAGTCGAGTTGATCTGTAGTATTCGCGCATTATCAAGGTATTCATCTCATGTGTCCATCTCATGCGCTTTTGCGATTTGTCAACCAAATTGGTCAGTTGTTGCTGAAAACCAGCTTGAACTGAAACATTTTGGAGGTTAGTCTGATTTTGTTGACTAGTCTGCGGTCGCATTACATCACAGCTTTGCCCGCATAGCACATCACTGCGTGGGATATGATGCATACTTAACGAACTGCAGTCAATGCCTACCTGCTGAACGCGGGATTTATTTGAGAGGGTACCTCCCGAACACCCCCCGTTATTTCTACGACTACGTGTAATCATATTTATATATTTTGTGGCCTTTTTACGGGGTCCCGGTCCCTAGAGAAAGCTCAACACTAACATGTGTCTATTGCCACCCATTTCTCACCACTAACATGTGTTTGTTGAAATAGGGTTTTTATTTTTTTGAAACAAAAGTGGCCATTGCGTGCCATTATTATTATTATTATTATTATTATTATTATTATTATTATTATTATTATTATCTTAATAAAATATTTACATATATATAATTTTTATTTAAATTAAATTATCATACATAATATAGAAAAATTATAGTTTATATTAATTATTTATTTTTTAAAAAAATATTTTATTTAACTAAAACTATTAAAAAAAATTTTTTTTTGAACAAACTTGAGAAAATATTGCGAAATGTTTGGTAATATATATATATATGTATATATAAATATTATTTTTAAGAGTTTTATATTTTTACAACTTATATATATATAAATTATATTATACGGTATAAATACTGAATATAAATTTTTAAATTTTTTATAAACTTTTTATATAGTTTTATATTTTTTAAAGTTTTAAAATAAAATAATCATATCATTGTGTGTGCAATAGTTACAATCAAACTGTATATTTAGTATAACAATATAGAAATAAAATATTTTTATAATCAAATTATTAAATAAAAATTTTAAGCAACTATTTTCAAAAGTTAAAGAAATATATATATATATATAAACTTTTGTTCTTGAAATATATATATATATATTTCATAATAATATTAGAAATAATAATAATAATAATAAAATAGAAATATATTTTTTTTAATACCAATGCCATCAAAATTTTTATTTCATTGTCAAAATTGTCGATTTAGTTTTATATATACTGTATATATAAAGTAAAAAACAAATAAATATAAAACGTTTCTTATTTTTATTTTAACTGTCAAATAAAATTTTCATTTTAAAGATTATCTACTTTTATACTATCTTATGAAATACTATATATATATATATACAGTATATATACAGTATTATATATATATATACTGCAATATATAAGTCTTTAATAAACTATTTATAAATTTTTATATCTTTTTTTTTAATAGTTTCATAATAAAAGTGATAAGACTTTTTCTAACAGCATCTCTAAACCATAACTACCCATATCATTGGCACTGGTAGGTCATTATCATCATTTGAAGGATTGATCCATAAATTGATATTTTACTTTATATATCTTTATATATATATATATCTTTATATATCTTTATATCTTTATATATCTTTATATATCTTTATCTTTATAGATATATATATATATATATATCTTTCATATGATATGCTAGATTGATATATCATAAAATGATAAAATAATAATAATATATATATATATATCTTTATCTATATATATACAGGCGATGACTATATTGTTGAATCTACTGTATGTGTTGGGGGTAGCGGTCGATGTGATTGTCGACTAGTAGTGTCGTTGACCATACAATGACATTATATGACACCAAAAACAACAACAACAACAACAACAACATTATACTAATAATACTAATGATATCACAACAACATTGTGGCGCTAATCCATCACAAATGTCTGTAAAAATTTTTTAATATTGAATATATATTTATATTATAATAACTATATGTGAATTAACTTTATATTCAACTCAACAAATAAAAATATATTATTATTATTATTATATTTTTCATACGACTAGTAGTGTTTGTGTGTATGTGTGTGGATATAAACAGTACATAACTAATAATAATAATAATAAATAAAAATAATAAAATATATTTTAATTATTTTTCCAGACATTCATAAATATTTAATGATTAAGAATATTAAAAAAAAATTGTTTTTATTTTTGTCTCTCAGTAATGTGTAAATAAAATTCAACAAAAATAAAATATTATTTATGTCTAATAAATATTAAATTAATAGTCAACAATTAAAATTATATTATATTATAATTTTTTAAAAAAAATATGTCTAACAATATAGACAACATTAACAACAATTATCGCTACAATTCTAGCAAATCATTTTTAACTAACATTGATAATAATAATAATAATAATAATAATAAACTATATATTAATAATAATAAAACATTGAAACAATCAATAGCAGATTATGTGATTAATCGTGGCACTCATCTATTGATGATGACAACCGACACCATGGCCAGTGCCAGCACCGGCAGCATCAGCAGCTCCGGTAGCTCATCGGCCACTGATAGTTCCACTCTATTAGACAATACTATTAATATAATTACTAATAATAATCATAACAACAACAACAACACTAACAACAATAGTGGTTGGCTATTGTATACCAATCATACAGCTACCGGTGCTGGTGTCGGTGGTAGTGGTGGTAATCATCTTATTGATGGTGATAATCAATTAGCACATAATTCCATATATAATATACACAGTTATGTTGTTTGCTATAATCGCTCTCATCTAACGTTTTCATCGCTACAACAGCTAAGCCTTCAGGTATTCAGCCATTAATTAATAATATCTTATGATATCATAAGCTATCAAATAATATATAATGTATATTAAAATAAAAATATATCTATTTATAATTATTGTAAAGTATTGTACAATAAATTATTTTATTGTTTTTTTAGGGAATATTTATTTATAAGTCATATATATATATAATGTATAACTTACCCGTTGTTTGATTATTAAATTATTTTTTATTAGATATTTATAGTTAATAATAATTAAGTTATACACACAAAAAATTATTTTTATTAATAATATATAAAATTATCGAATATTACAGTATTATTGGGATTTTATTATTATTTAATATTATTTTTTTAATATATATCATAAATTAAAATTATGTATTATAGCACAAAATGTCAAAACTAATAAATAATAATAATAATAATAGTAATAACTTTTAAATAATAAAGTAAATTTATATTTAATTCAAATAGTATATAATATATATATATATATAGAGTATATTATAATTAAAGTAAAATTTATATATATATTATTTAATATTAGATCATATAATCCAAAAAGTATACATTAATATTTGAAAATATCATTAAATTACATAAACTATGTTTTATTTATATGTTAAATACAGTATTTTAAATCTTTATTAAATATATAATAATAATATAAATTATATTTATATTCAATATGACATTTAAACTGCAGTATTATTTTATTAATATTTTTTTGTATATTTATTTTTATTTCATACATATAATAATTTTTATTTACAACATAAGTTGCATACATGTTATTATAGATTATATAAGTAATAATAATAATAAATTGATATTTCAAAAAATTCCTAAAAATAATACAATAAATAACAAATATTGAACTTATATTAAGGAATATTCTTATAACACGTGTTTTGCATTAATATTTTTATTTTATTTTTTTATTAATACCTAACATATTTATTATATTATATTAATATTTGACAAAAATATATATTTTTATATAAAAAAATTTAAATTAAGCATGGTGATTACTTTATTAAAATATCTAAAAATATCAAACTACACAATGTATACATGTATACATCAATTAAAAAAAATTAAAGCAATTAAATAATACTAATAATAAAAAATTATACACATTTTGATTCATTGATAAATAATAATTTTTAAAAAAATCATTTAATTTATTTTTAAACTTTAAACTTTAAATCAAACATAATATTAAAATAAATAATATTAAAAAAATAGTTTAATATTTGAATAGTTTATCATTTCATTCATTCATTCATTAATTTGCATATAAAATGAATTCATTTATCATAATATATATATATAAAAAAAGATATATAATATATATTTTATTAATACATTTATAGTATACAGTATTTATAAATAAAATATAGTATAGTTACTAACATATTATAGTATTTATTAATTATATAGACAAACATTATAATAATAATCAGTTAAAACTTGTATTAATAATATCATAATGTCTTATAGTTATTAAGTATAGTATAGTACTCATTAAAATTTCAATTGAAATCAATTACATAAAAGTTTTTTGCTTAAATGTCTAACTTTTACGACCAATTGCTCTCTCTCTCTCTCTCTCTCTCTCTTTTTCTCTCTCACTCATTCACTCACTTACTCACTCACTGAGTAAACCACTGACACACACACACATACACAGCAAACATAAGATTTTTTTTTAGTTGATAACCATTTGTGCCGTTGTCTGACAAAATCAATTACCAAATAGTCATACGATCTATAGATTACTAGAGTATTAGAAATTTGATGGCAAACTTTTTTTTATATTATTATTTAATAATAATTTTATTCTATGTATAATACAAACAATCATTACATGAGAGTATATAACATTAATAAATCAATAATATATATATATATATATATATATATATATATATATATATATATATATATATATATATATATATACATATATAGATAGATAGATATATCTTAAGAAACATTTATTAATTTGTTTCTTACGAAACACTTAATTGCTTTCTTCATTAAATTGTTAACTCATAATCGATAATTGATAACAAAATTATTATTATTATTATAAAAAAATATTAAATCAATAATTTAATAACTATATGACACTTATGTTACTATATATATATCGAAATATTAATTAAAAACTTATCAAATTTTTTTTTGGTTGTCGTTGACAATCAATACTATTATCTATACTGTATATAGATATGTATGACAGCATCGATACTCAGTTTCATAATACAGCTGTCGGTCTACGGGTTTGTACCGAAACTGCAGAGCCTTCCCGGCAAATGTCTGATGTCGTTATCATTGTCTTTATTGGTGACCAATTTATTTCTCATACTATCCTATCATACGGAAACATCGCGCGACAATCTATGGTGTATTGTTGTCGGCATCGGTCGACACTATTTCATATTAGTAGCATTTTGCTGGATGTCGGTACTGGCCTTTGATACCCATTGGACGTTTCATCAGCCAAACCGAAACCAACTGTCCACAACAGTTAAAGGTATGTTTGTTTGTTTGTTTTTGTAATACAGTAGTTAATCGATTAGTAATGTATATTCTAGACTGAGATATATAAATTATGTAATACATATATGTATGTATGTATGAGTGTGTTTATGTGTATGTGTTTGACAGTTATCTTGATTATTATATCTATATTTAAGTTTATTTTAATATATATATATATATATATAAATTATATATAAATATATTATTTATACAAATACACACACACACACACACACACACACACACATATATATATATATATATATATATGTATTTCATATAAAATTTATATATTTCATGTTTTGATTTAGTATAATAGGTTAGAAAATCTCTAAACCTGTGTGTGTGTGTGTGTGTGTGTGTAGTTACACACAATAGTAAATACATTATTAATATGCTATAAATATTAATGATAAAAAGTCTAGTTTTTATATTATAAATTTATATTCAAATAAAGTATACTTTTTATTAGTATATGATTTACACTTAAACGTGTTAACATGCTATTAATAATTAATTGAAATTATTTTGTTTAAATACAAAAGTACTGTACTTTTATTGTTAAGTAAAAATTATGGCATTATTCAACAAAAAAAAAATAAAACAAAAATAATTATTTAAGTAATTATGGCCATAAATAACTGTTAATTTATTCCCATAAACAAAACATTTAGTACATTATACTGTATTTATATATAAATATTCTGTAATTTTTTAATTAAACAAAATTTTTATTCAATTATATTTTTCTATATAATTAAAACCTCAAAAAAATTATTATCATTATTATACTCTCTCTCTCTCTCTCTCTCTCTCTCTCTCTCTCTCTCTCTAATAATAATAATAATAATAATATCTCTATATATATATATAGTTTTATAAATTTATTTTATGTGTTAATTTATTAAAAATTTAATTATTTTTTTAATTATATTATTATTTTTTAATTATATTATTATTTTTTAATTATATTATTTTTTAATTAATCAACAATAAAAAAAGGTTACCACAAGAGGACCTCACTGTTCATCAAATACTCGGTCTACTCGTGGCTGACACCGGCCATAATCGTGGGCATTGCAATCGGCGCCGACTATACCGTAGCCGGCGATTCGGCACTCAAACCCCTATACGGCCAACTAGTTTGCGGATTATCACAGTTTTTTGCAATACTAATGTGGTCGACCATACCCTGCTGTCTGATAATGTTTGTCAACATTATACTGTTTGCCAAAACCCTACAAAAGCTGAACCGTATTACCGGTGAGACCGAACTGGCCAACAAAGCGACATTCAGGGAACGATTTATGTGGTGTTTTAAACTATCGATATTGTTGGGCATTGCCTGGGTCATTTATTTTATATCGAGTTTTATATGCGAAATCTGGTTCCAGTATTTTGCCCAACTATTCCTGGCCTGTCAGGGCCTGTTCATACTGGCCATAACAACGCTCAAAAAATCTGTATACGAGTCCCTCAAGCGTCGGGTGTTTTATCTGAGAAATCGCGGTATTCATAGACAACAGTCAAGTAAACGATCATTTCAGGCGTCGGCGTCCATCAAAACGCTACCCGTTTTCTAGTTCAGGGGTTGATATTAGACCCCTCCAGTCAACCCACCCATCCGGGTGGGTGAGGGTTGGATTAGGGGTATTTCCCTAATATCGATTGGGTTAGGACAGGGACAGACAGACAGGGAAGTGTATGTCCACTTAAATACCAATATATGTAATTATATGTCTCTCTCGTATGACATCCCATTAGAGGAAGTCATATCATAAATACAAGTCATGTGTTATTGTATAACACCAACAAATAAAACAATTTATTTATTTATTTAATATGATTTTGTTATTATTTTTTTTTTTGGTTAATAATTCAAATATACTTTATATATGTCTTTTTTTTAGAGTAGAGTACTGTATGTTTTGGTACTAATTTATATTACAGTACACACACACACACACACACTGTACTGTATATCTATCATATACTGTATATTATATACTTGTAATATTTAATTAATATATATAAATTAAATGTCAAAACAAATTAATTTACGACACATTAAATCATAACATTTATTATATATATTTTACTATAATTAATGCAGTATATTATCATTATCATCATCATCATCAACAACAACAACAAAAATAATCAAATTATTATAATATTATTATATAATTATATTTAATATAAAATGGATTTTTAAATCGGGAATTTGTGATTAGAAAAATTAAAAATATTTAAATAATTAATTATATAATTAATAATTACTAAATAATATATAAGAGAGGAAAAAAACAAACAAAAATCAAAAAGTTTTGAAAATTTTACGCTAAACTTGTTGTTAATTATATATTAAAAATTATAAATTTATAATAATAAAAAAACAACAATTTTAATGGAAAATTTTCAACAGAAAATATTTGTCACATATTTAAGTGAAAGTTAATATATAAATATATAAATGATTTATATTATAAAATAAAAATTATATTTATAATATATATATATATTTTGCTTAAATTTCTGCGAAACTTTAAAAACAATTAGCTATTGAATTGTAAAAAATTTTAATTATTATGTACTTAACGACTAAATAAAGAAAAAAATGATGATTAATTAAAATGAACAAAAAATTTTAAAAATCTATATATATTTTGCTTTATTTTTGACAGTTTTATAAAAAAAATAATAGTAAATGTATTTCAACACCAAAAAAATAAAAAACATTTTTATTTTATATGTATAACACTATACATAATTATATGTATGTAATTAATTAATTAATTAAAAAATTTAAAAAATTACATTATATCTCTATATTTTCCAGTGCTTATACAATACACACACATATATATAATATATATTATATAAATATACACAAATATACTAATAAACTGTATGTTATGTATTGTATGTATATTTAGATTTTGTAAATATTTTTGTTGGAAATAAATAATAATAAAAAAAAGATTTTTTCAATTCATACTAAAAGTCACTGTATTTTTCAAAAATAAAAATAAATAATTAATTAAAATCTTTGTTGATTAAAATCTAGTTTATATTTTTACAATCAATTAGGAAAAACATTTTCGGAAAATAATATAACATTTGTTAATAAAGTTTATTTAAAATATATATAAATAAATAAATTATATATATATATATATATTTATGATATAATGATATCTCTATGGGTTCAATATATATAAATATAAGCATTTAATACATTTCCAAATCACATGTATTTGTTATGTATGTATATATGTTTGAACAATAAATAAAATAAATATACATTCAATTATATTTGCTGTTGTCTCTGATTTTATCATTATTAAGCTATTTTTGTCTACTAATTTTAATTGAATTTAAATCAATGCTATTAATCTAATGTATATATATATAAAAAATATTTTTGTTGTATAATAATTTCAATACAAATATAATATATACAAAAGCAGCAAAAAATAAAACAAATTAAAATGCTTTTATAAATGTCTTATAATTTATATATATATATAATTATATATATATATATATATATAATTGATATACTGAATCCTAATAAATGTTTTTTTTGTTGATCACATGAGTAGTACAATACATGAAAATTATAATACAACAAAATAAACATAAATGATATATTATACGTCAGTATATATACAATAATATATATAAATTAAGTTACAATTTATAGTTGTTTTTATATTACATCATATGATCGGTTATATATATCCACTAATATATATTTTTTGCCTATAATATTAATTGTCAAGTGATTACTATTATTATTATTAATAATATTATTATTATGTAGTTTATAAATTTATAATAGAAAATACAACAATAACAAAAAATCAATTTTTACTTAAATATAAAATACTAGATTAACAACTCAAAAAAAAATCAATTATAAATTGTATTTATTTTATTATTTTGAATACTATATATGAATAATATGTGTAAAAATTTATAATGTATTTTTTAATTAAATATGTAATTATATTTTAAAGTTTTTAAATTAATAATTTAAATAAATCTAAATATATATTAAATTTTTAAATTTATTTAAATAAAAATAAAACATATTTTTATTATATCAGAATAAACAGTATAAGAATATAATTATGTTTTATTTATATATAAATATAAATTATAAATATAATAATTCTTTAAATAATAATAAAGTCGATAAACAAATATTATTAATTTAATTAATACAATCATATAGTTTTTAAAAATAAAAAAAATAGCTAATTATATAAAATTATTTTGCTTAAGATGATTATTTTTTTTAACAAATAAAAATAAATATATATAGAGATATAATTAATGATTAATTTTAAGAGATAAACAAAGCGGTTAAATAAATAGCGATTTTTTCCCTATAAATATTTTATATCCTCGTGTGTGTGTGTGTACTGTATGTATGTATATATAAACAAACAAAAAAAGTACACAAATATTAATAATATATATATACTATGATATAAAATTAAGTGTATGGGGTTATCGGCACCAGTAGTTGAAGTAAAAATACTGTACACTCACGAGGATATCAGTATAAGACAGTTCAACTAACATAACCTTTAATTTAATAATAATAATAATAATATTAACAACAACAATAACAATATAATATATTATGTATTAATTTGATAGTATGTTTAAAAGTCTAGCAAACAATCATATATATATATACTGTATATAATTTATAGTTATATCATAAATATAACTATCAAATAAAGTTTCAGTATATATATATTAGGGGTTATATAATTTACATGTATATCATGTATACAAATGTGCAACACGTGTGTGGTGTGTATGGCTAATATATGTATATGTATTAAACTATTAATATACAGTATATATATCATATAAATATTTAATATTATTATTATTATTACAAAAATATTTATTATACAAAAAAAAAGTTTATCGTTTTCGCGATAATTTCCAATTCAATACCAAATAGATTAGGACATACATGACGGACACAAAAAATATTAATAACCGTATTTCCCACCAAAACGCCTCATCGGTGTCGGCGATTTCAAATTGTGTCAAAATCAATGACCGCTCGCTATTGTTGCCGACGGCATTTTTGCCGCCAAACATTAGCATCAAATTTGTTTCCGGATCTCTGCGGCCATCGGTAGTACCGATACCTGTTTGCTCTTCGCTGGACTCGTCCGAATTGTCGCCGTCGCCCATAAACGACTGAAACTCGTACATACGTGACATTAGTTTGAGCCACTGGGGTCGGGTCAGATTGGTTGTGTCGATATCGAGTTCGGCCAAACGATTTTCGTACGGACACCGGTCGAAGCCGAATATGGCTATCAGTGTGGCGGTTAGGGAGTAGCGAAAAAACGATACATACGATATCGGTACCAAATAGCTGGGCATTAGCGACAGTTTTCGGAAAAAGCCGGCAAATATAAACAACGGTAGTATCACTGGATTTTTTTGTGGATGGGGTGGTTGGTTAGTTGGTTGGGAGGTTAGTTGGTTGGGTGGTTAGTTGGTTGGGTGGTTAGTTGGTTGGGTGGTTAGTTGGTTGGGTGGTTAGTTGGTTGGGAGGTTAGTTGGTTGGGTGGTTAGTTGGTTGGGTGGTTAGTTGGTTGGGTGGTTAGTTGGTTGGGTGGTTAGTTGGTTGAGTGGTTAGTTGGTTGGGTGGTTAGTTGGTTGAGTGGTTAGTTGGTTGGGTGGTTAGTTGGTTGAGTGGTTAGTTGGTTGGGTGGTTAGTTGGTTGGGTGAATGGATAGATTAAATGATAGATTATAAATGTTAATATATTATATAATATGCAGTTATTTTGTTGCTATTGTGTATGTGTTTGTATATACTGTATATGTATGTATGTGTGTGTTTGGGGTTTGGGAGGAAGGTTAGGTCAGAAATATCAATAGTTTTTAATATGTTACCGATGCCCGATGCAAATTGAGCTAGGTTAGCATCCTCTAGAAATAGTGCACCAAAAATTAAGCCTATTAAAAATAATAAAATATAATAACATAATTAATTGTATATTAATGTGTAAATAATATACTGTACAGTAATTAATATTATATTGTTTTTTTTAGATATATATATACTGTATATACTGAATGCAATTTTCCTATACATACCGACACTTTGCCCGGTCATGCATACCAATAGGTTAATCATATTTACATAGAATAGTCGTTCATATGTATCAAACAGTTGGCCAGTCATAAAATAGACTATAGTAGTCATCGATATACTGGTTATAATACAAAACGGCAAATCGGTAAACAATTTGCTAACATAATAGGCGAGTACACTGTAGTAGCCGTTTGTATACTCTTTTAAAACTACATTCATTTCCAATGGAAACGATAGTACCAATGATGTATACGAGGCAAACATACACATCATCATTACGAGAAACATTAGCGCCAGGTTCTCCTGTAGGCCATACCTGTCCTCCTGAAACTTATCGAACAACTCGTTTACATCCAGTTTCCATAACATTAGCTTAGTTGGCGGACAACCGGAATGTTGGCCAACACTGCTGCCAAATATCAGTCCAATAATGAATGCCATCGGAAATACCGTAAATAATCCTATAATTTAAAAAAATAGTAATAAAATTAAAAAAAAAATCAAAATTAATTTTTTTTAATCATTTAATTAATTAATTAATTTTTTAGATTTATAATAACTGTATATAATAAATAAATTTAAAAAATAGATAAATAACTAGAATTTTTCTAGGTTAAAATTTTTTCAAATAATTAATTTTTTGTTTTTGTTTTAAAATTAGCAATTTTGTTAATTTAACAAAAATAAAAACAATTAATTATCTTATTAATAATAATAAAATCCATAGTAATAGTCAATTAATAATAATAATTGTATTATATAATATACGGTACTATATAACACAAAATACAAAAAAATAAACAAAATTAACATGGTCATCTTATAGATAGATTTTGTTTGTGTATATAAACCTCTAATTGAAAAATTAATTAATTAATAAAAAATAAAATTCAATTAAAAAAATAGTTTTTAATATATTATTAATTAGTTATATATTTATATATATTTATACTTATTATGACAATATCGGGATCTCTATATGTTATCTTAAACACACGTCTAACCAAAATTGTCATCTGCTTAAAGTGAGGCCTTTTTTACAACAACAAAAAAATAAATAATCAGAGAGAACAGGTATGTTATTATAAAAACTATATATATATGTGTGCTATATATTTACATGGATTTCCTTGACTTTTCGGCCAGTATTGCATTGAGGACAGTCGTATAGGAATCGCCATCAGCGTAGGTATCGTCAAATCGTGTCTTATTGGACTCTTTGTTATAGTGACTGAGCAAATGGATAGACTGTTTGGCGTACTCACCCGATGCCACTTCAATGATAAAATCGGCCGGATTATAGTAATTGGGCACACTTAGACCTAGGTTATAATATATATTTTTTTAAATTAAAGATTAGTTAGTTAGTTAAATATTGTTAACTATTATAGTATATAATAAATTGTTAGATAATTATCTGATTTTATTAGAAATCTAATACTAAAATCTAATTACTTTTTTTTGAAAAACTAATTTTTATTTATCTATAATTTAATTAATTTTAGTTATTGTATAATTATAATTGTAATCATAATCATCAACAATAACTACAACAACGACTGACAACAATACATACCGACTAGCGATAGTGTTTGCGGCAACTCTTGGGGCGGGCCGTCAAACACGCACACACCTGTGTTGGACAGTATGTATACCCTATCGAACAATTGAAATATCCGAGCACTCGGCTGATGTATGGTAGCTATGGTGGCAATTGGTTTACGTTGTTTGGTCAACGCCAGTACAGCGTTAATGGTCAGCGTAGTGGCCGAACTGTCCAGACCGGTAGTCGGTTCGTCCAGTATGAGTACATCGACTTTGCTGACCAATTCCAGCGCAATGGACAGCCGTTTACGTTGACCGCCGCTCAGTCTAATGCACAGTGTATTGGCACAGCCATCCAAACCTAACTTTTTGATGAGAGTCTGGGCAGTGTTCTGATGGTTAACAAACCGTCGGTCGGCGTTACGTAGTCGGGAGGCAAACACCAGCGACTCGTTGACCGTCAAGTGCTCCAAATGATGGTCAAACTGTTCGACAAAACCGATTTTCAGCCTATCTTTGCCGATCATTTTGATATCGCCGGACACACCGACTGTACGTTTGCCAGATATACACTCCAACAGTGACGACTTGCCAGCACCGGACGGTCCCATCAATGCCATCATCTTATTATTTGTTTGTTTAATTTGGTTTAATTAAGTAATAATGTTATAACTTTTTAATACCTGGCCATTCACACACACACACACACACACATACCTGTCCGCTGCGTAACGATCCGCTGATGCCGTTCAGTATGGTTTTCACTCGACTCTGGCCACTTGATTTGCCCAACATTTCGGCCACCGACCGACCTCTGGTCACACAATAGGTCAGATTCTGCCAAATGATCTCCACTTGCCGTACGCTAGACTCGGTTCGCCGGAGCGGCGCTACTTTGACGTGCATTACAGGTGCAGCCAAATAGTTTAGGGCTGTCGTCCAAATAGTTGATTTGAAAAATGATTTTTTTTGGGGGTGGGTGGGGTAGGGGATAAAATATATACACACAATTAATTCATTTGATCAATTAAAAATAATTTATACTTAAAAATTTAAAATTAAATAAATGCTAATTTTTTGTTTGCTTACAACCCATTAATGTAATATAAATTAATAGATAAAATTAAATTTCTATTATATTAATATATAAATATTAATTTATATACCGGTGCAATTTGATTATTATTATATATATATGATAAATGAAAATATTGAATATATATATACAGTACTGTATATGATATATAATCACATTAAATAAGACACATATATTATATAGTATATAAAATATAAATTATATCATATACTGTATATTTTTAAATTGTATGTAAATTATTAATATATTTTTATACATAAAAAATTATTTATATCTATACCTTCAGACATTTTTATTTATTACAAATGATGATAATTATATTATTATTATTATTATTATTATTATAATTTTTTTTACTATAACGTTGATATTTAAATTAATAATAAAAAAATAATGATACTATTGGTTTATTTCAGACTATTTATAATTGATCAAAAAAAATGTGACGTTATTTCCAAATAAATTGTCATTATTAGCATTAATACTGTATTATCATTATTATTAAAAGTTGTCATAATTATATAAATTATATTTATGATTATTTTTAACTAAAATAAATAATAATATTATTATTATTATTATCACGCAAAATAAATATGTTTTGATTTATTTATTTTGTTGTTATTGTTAACAAATAAAATATTTAAATTATAGTTTAAAATAATTTTAAATATAATTTTTAAAAAATATTTATTCACAATTTTGATTAAAATTTTTGATCACAAAAAATACAAACTTAATAGTAAGCAATTTTATTATAATTTGTTTTAACTATTTGATTAATAAACCAACAACAACAAAAAATTAAAATTATAATAAAGTAATAAAATTTGTCTATTAATTTTTTAAACAAAAAATATTAGTAATACTAATTTTGTTGAATATTATTCACAACTTAATTAAATATTGTATTACAGATAATATATGCTAAAAATACATATTTGTTTTAACTTATTATTATACAATACAGTATTAATATGTGTTTTAAACAAATATATTATAATAAATATTGGAAAAAATATATAATTTGTGTGACGTTATCATTAATATATATATATATATATATACAGTATATAATACTAATGATATTTTGAAAACTACATATAATTATAAACTATAAATAAAATTACTTTTATCTTAAAGACAATAAATTTTATTAATCAATAATTTTATTTTATATTTATTAACTACTATTAGACTAGCATTGAGACTGTTCTCCAAAAAAATTGTGAGAAATATAAAATTACAAATAAAACTTAATTTTTTTTATATAAAAAAGTAATTTATAAATAGTATTTAGAAATAGATTAAAAATTTGTATAATTTGTATAATTATTATTTATAATTATATTTTACTACTGTATTAAAATAAAAATAACAATTATGATAATAATAATAATACCGTTAAATAAAAATATATCTATTATAATATCATATTAGATATCAAAAATGATTGCCAACTATTACTTTAGAGTGATTGACAGACAATTGTGGAAAATTTTTCTATGGGTTAACAAAAAAATAAATAAATACTGTAATAAATTGATTGCCAAACAAATAATAATAATAGTAATAGTAATAAAAAATTTAAAAAAACAAAATTTTATTAAAAATAGTTTGACATTTAAATATTGAATGTCGACTAATGTATACACAAAATAAACTTAATGTAAGTTTTTGTTTTGTTTTATATTTTTCAAATATATAAATATATTAATATATCAATAGTTTATATTATAGTATTAAAATTTTTTTATATTTTATTCTATAGTATAGCTTAATTAAATTAAATTAAATATAATTAGTTTTAATATTAACTTAATTATATAATATAATGTATAATCTTATTTTAAAAACTTAATATATTTGTAAATTATTATATAATTAGTTTTTATTAAAATTTTAAAAGTTATAATACATTAACATTCATATTAAATTATAAATAATTTTTTTAAGTAATAAAATTAAAATAATTAGTTAAATTTAACAAAAAATTATAAATTATAAAAATAACTTACCCGATGAATTTTAATAATATTCAACTTATAATGTTGTTATATTTTATTTATTAATATCGTACTATAATTTATTTTAAAATGTATTTTTTGTTGTTGTTATTATCACAATATTTAAATATAATATTGAATATATATTAAATATTTTACTAGAAATTTAATTAGTTTAAATATTATAAATCAACTATTCATAAATTTATTAATATATATCATAATATACTGTATATATATATTTTTAAACAAATTGCTTAAAATTATTGCATCAATAATGTGTAGAAGTCTTATTGAAAATTATTATTTGAAATAAGATATATTAATGATTTTTTTCAACTATATTTATACAAACATTTTTTTATTTTAGTTATTGAGTTAATTTTTTTAAAAATAAATAAAATAATAAGTTAAATATCATATAGTTATTTGACATTATAATTTATGCATGAAAAAATTTAATTTAAATGTTAGACATAAGTTTTTTTTAATATTAATAATAATAAAAAAAAATCAATTTAATGTTGAACTTCAAAGTTTTCAATATATATTCAATATATATATAATATAATATAATTTATATTTATTATTATTATCATAGAGTACTTAAATATCATATGAATTTAAATTAATAATGTATTAAATATATATTTGTATTATTATCATAAATAAAAATAATATAATTAAAAATAAATGGACAATTTTTTAAAAATTTATTGATATTTTAATAAATGTTTGCTAAGTAAAGATAAAAATGATAATTAATTTGTTTTAATAAAAACAAAATTGTGAAATAATAAAATTGTTTTTTTTAAATGTATTTCAATGAAATTAATTTTAATACTTTAATATTTAATTTAATAATTGAATCAAAAAATGAATAAAATATTTTGTACATTTTATATTTTTAAATATTATATAATTTTATTTCTAGAATATTGATATTAAAAAAATTATTTATAAATATAAAGAAAATATTTTTTAAAACAATATATGAAATACTATGAAAGATATTGTATATGCATGTACAGTATGTGTGTGTGTGTGTGTGTGTGTGTGTGTGTGTGTGTGTGTGTGTGTGTGTGTGTGTGTGTGTGTGTGTGTGTGTGTGTAAGTGTTTAGTTATACAATAAAAAAATACATGATATCTATGCAACAAATAATTTTATATTCCTAGTATTTATTAATTAAATATATATATATTCAATATATATATATATATATTAATTAATTAATTCAATGGCATAACTACAGTATAACATGTGCTATGATTCATAGCTTATGAATAAACAAATTGTGTAGGATACAATACAAAATAATATTAATAGTTATATAATTAATAATTATATAATTTTTGTTTTTTTTTTGATATTGTTATCACTATTCAAATTTAATCTTTGTGATTGTATTTATGATTTTTTTTTGCCTATTGTGTTATTCTACAAATGAAACATAATACAATTTACAATTATATAAATATATATATATATATTGAATTGATAAGTGACATAAAGCAACTATTTATATAATAACTTTTTAAAAATAGTTACATTAGTTACTCTAACATTTTTGGTGCAACTATTGTCTTACAATATATGAAAACTTTAATCATTAATTTTCAATAACATTTTGCTTGCATATCAGTCATCAGTCTCTCTCTCTCTCTCTCTCTCTCTCTCTCTCTCTCTCTCTCTTTCAATACACACACATCTATTGATAGTATCGGTTAATTTCAAGTGTAGTTTTTAAGTGTTTAGCAAATTGTATGCCAATTGTATATATGTTTATACTCTGTATCACAAAACACAGATACTCTATACAATATACAGTATATATATATATATATATATATATATATATATATATATAAATATATTTATATATTGAATATATATATAAGTTTGTATGTTAGCTTGAAATTATATAACAACATAAAATCAGTTTTGATAAGCATAATAATAATATTTATTTATTTATTTTTTGCTATTTGTTAACAAAATTTTTTATTATTTAACAATTAATATTATAATTATATAATAAGTGTTGACACACGTGTTTGTAATAATAGTACAGGTATTACACACACACACACTATATTATTATTAATACTAATGTATGTGTAATAAAGTTTATTAAAGTTTTAATATACAAAAATTATTTTTATATATTATATGTAAATTTTTATTGTAAGGAAAAAAATGTTTTCAATAATAAAACTTAATTCAAAGCACTGTTTTATTGTAAACCAAATGCTGTTACAAATAATAATAATAGTTTTGTTAACTTTCCTATCGTTAATAACTAACTTTCCTCAACTCATACACTGTGCCATTGATGAACCAGTTTTAGTAAAACTATCAAATAATAAGTATAATAATAATAATAACATAATCGTTGGTAAAAAACAGCAATTTCTCGGTAAAGATGTCAACGTATTCTTGGGTATACCATATGCCAGAGCACCGGTAGGTGAGTTAAGATTCAAGAAACCGGTGCCCATTGTCGACGACGACAACAACCTGAACACCAGTAGTCATACGACTATACGAAATGCCAGTCAAATGCCCAGTCCTTGTGTTAACTACATTCAAGGCTCGTTAGATGAGATGCCGTGGAGTAGTCGACAGCCGGGATCCGAGGATTGCCTCTATCTTAACATTTGGTCGCCAGATATAACCGCCGCCCAAACTGGCCTACACTCACCACCGCAGCGGTCGGTAATGGTATGGATATATGGCGGCGCTTTCCAGACCGGATCCATTGATATCGATGCGTACGACGGCCAAGCATTGGCCACTGTTGGCGATGTAGTTGTGGTTACTTTTAATTACCGAACCGGTGTTTTCGGTTTGTTCTACGACGGCAGTGGCACCGATGAAGCACCGGGTAATTTGCCAGTCCATGACCAGCGATTGGCACTTAGTTGGATACAGAAAAATATTGACCGTTTTGGCGGCGATCCCCAATCGGTAACACTGTTCGGCGAAAGTGCTGGCAGTATATCTATAGGCCTGCACTTGTTGTCCGTCGATTCGGGCCAGTTATTCAAGCGGGCAATCCTGCAAAGCGGTAGTCCGTATCATAATATCGGCGGCGTTTCGCCAGAACTGGCCGTCCGACAGTCACGGCGTATCGCTGCGGACGCCAATTGTCTGCGCAAAGATGATGATCACACCATTGACTTGAATTGTATGCGACAGCTGACAGTCGATCAGCTTATGGATGTCTACACTGATATCTACACTAAAGGTATGTCCCAAACTATTGTTACCAAACATACACTAAGTCCGGTATATATATATTGATATTAATATATATGAAGGACTGTACAGGTATTGCACTGCAACTGGTTTATGGCGACGACGACAACAACAAGCTATTGCCCAGACATCCCATTGAACTGTTGGACAACTATCAGATGGTCAGTGATCATCGGCAGCACTGGGAGGTATTGTTGGGTACCAATCGTAATGAGGGCGCATCCATACTGTTTATGGGTGTACCGGAACTGTTTGCCAGACACTCGCCAATCAATATGACCAAAGCGGAGGCCATCGAGTTTATTAGGGCATCAGCAGTGAACTGGTGGTTGGATGTCCTAACCGATCGACAGTTACATGAGATAATCGACTATTATATGTCGACAATTGACAACGAAGACGACTATCCAATGGTACGGCAATCGTTGGCCAATATTGTTGGCGATTCAATGTTCAACTGTCCGTCGCTATTCATGGCCGACCAGCTGTCCAAAGCTGGCGGCGTCAGTGTCTGGTACTATCATTTCAGTCATATCAAACAGTTTGACAATCATTGGGGTCAATGGATGGGTTCACCGCATTTCGATGAAGTTCAGTATGTATTTGGTTTACCGCTCAGGTATCCCGACCGGTATACTCCCGTTGAACTACAGTTGTCGATAAATATGATGAAAAGTTGGTCAAGTTTTGCATCTAATGGGTAAAAATGATAATTATTTTTTTCAAATTATAATTAGTATTAATATTATAATTTAATTACAAGTATAAATATATTGTAAGTTTAGTACTATTTATATGCAATTTATTTATTTACGGTAAGTGATTAATTTTATGGATACATTATTATTGTATTTATATTTTTTATTACATTAATAAAGTTATGTGAATTTCATATTAACTATTATATATATATACTATTAATATATACAGTACTATATGTTTACTAATCCTATTATCTAATCTTGAAATATGTTTACTATATTATAGTATTTACAATACAGTATATATATATAATATATACTGTATTTATAGCTATCATTGAAATATTATGCAATTATTTATATAAATTTTTTTTATACATTGTATTGTCAATATTAGCCGATTACTAGTAAATGGACATTTGTAATGCAAACATACACATATTTATTGTGTATAATTTGATCTATTTATTGTATAATTATTTTGTATTTAATAAAACACTATAATATATACATATATATATTATATACTGTATATATATTTAATGAGATTTATAAGATTTAGCAAAAATATTATACTAATAATTTTTACAAAATATTTATTTAGATTGAATAATAATTGATCGCATAAATTGATTTTTAATTATTTTTTTATTAATAATCTTTTTAATGATAGCAAACCCGACAATAATTTTAGAAATATTGACAACAATAACAACAACAACAACAACAATGTTTGGCCACTTTATGATCATTTTAGTCGTAAGTATATTGAAATAAATAGTAATACCGATAATAATATATTGGCCAGTGGTCTGCGGCACCGGGAGTGTCTGTTTTGGCGGCCATACTATCGTAAAACACGTGCAACACATGTAGCTATGGATGAATTGTAGAAAAATATTATTATTAATAATATTGTAGAAAATTATTTGAATTTTTAATTTAAGATAATTTATTATAAATATTTTGTTTTTCAAATATTTATCAATATATCAAATATATGCTATTGTATATCAAATAATATAATGTTAATTAATTAAATGTTTATAAATTAGTTTATAATAGTTAAATAAAATTAAAAAAAGTGTTATTAATTTATTTATTATCATAAAATATTACTGATTTATTATTTATTATTATCTAATATAAATAATATGTTATAAATAAAAATTTATTTATATTAGTTTTATTTGATTTTTTTGACTTAAGATTACTGAAACAAAAATAAAATTTAAAAAAATAATAATTTAAAAATAAATAATAATGTATAATTTTTTTTTAATTACCGTAATTAAATTTAATATAATAATAATTTATAGTAAAAAATGTCCAAAAATAAAATAAATTATTTTAAACTAATTAATTATTGATTTGCATTGAAATTTTTATAAAAATATAAAATATTATCTTTTTATATTTTGTATGAAAATTTAAGTTATCATAATAATAATTATCATTATTATTATTAATATAATTTTTTTTGTATTGACAATTTGTACATTAATTATGTTTTTTATGTCTATATAGTTGATTAAGCTTAGGTTCGTCATTTTTTTATTATTTTTATTAATTAATTATTAATATATACTGTATGAAAACACATATATTGAATAAAATCCCATCTATGGTATTGTCTATGGTATGGCTTTTATGTAGATTTTTTTATATACTTGTTTATGTTAAGTAATCTTTTTTTTTTATTTTATTTGTTGTTATATAATCATTTTGACACAATTTTATACAATACAAACACTAGCATTCAAATAATAATAATAATAGTCTACAGAAAATCATTATATAAATTATTAAATATACAGTTTCTGATTGTATGTATGTGTGTGTGTATGTATGCATGTGTGTGTATGTGTAAGTGTGCAAATAAAAATTAATTTAAATATTTTATAAATATTATACATACAGTATTTTTGTTGAATTAAAAAAATAAAATATTTTTATATATTATTAATTATAATTTTTATTCAAAATAAAAATTGATTGAAAAATATTTTTTTTGTATAAATATAAACTTTATATTAAATAGAGTATATATATATATATATATATATATATATATTAATATATAATTTAACATAATTATAAATACTTTATAGTCTTTTAACTAAAATTGATTTATTGATGTTTTATTTAATATAAACAAAAAATCTGATAAAAATAAAAATAATTATTATTATATATATATATATTTAATATACTATTAATTTTCAGGTCATTTTCTGAATCTATGACTAACATAATATACTGTCTATAATATACAGTGTATATCATAAATAGTAAAATGTATAATATTTGTTGTTATTGTTGTAGACAAATAATAACTATTAAAACTATATATTACTTATTTAATAAATAATAGTCATAATAAAAATGACAATTTAGGCTAAAACTAAATATAAATATCTAATGAGTTTAATGTTTTGTTTAATGCAATATTCAATATGTAATTCACACCAACAAAAAAAAACATACAACAAAATAATATGAATAAATAATATGAATTATAAGTTATAAAACAACATTAAAAACTACAATATAGTATTAAATGTATTATAATGTATTAAAAACTTATTATATATATATAATAACTTATATATACTGTAAATGAAAAAATAAATAAATTTTTAATTATATTAATATATTTCTTATGGTTAAAACAATTCCGGTATATTTTTTTCTAATATAAAAGTAGTAAAAAACTATATGTATAAATGTATATATATATATATATATGTGTGTGTGTGTGTAACTTATGTCAATGTGATTATTGATTTAACTATAATTGTTTTGTAATACAATACTGTAGTAAATTACTATAGTATTATTGTACAGTAACCACAATTACTTTTTTGTTGTTGTCACATATGTGATATAATAAAGTATAAAAAGTCAATGCACCTAAACATCTCCATTTCCCTATATCTATCAATATTAGCTTTAATATATATATAAGACACACACACACACACACACAGACACACACACACACACACACGTGTAAACAATGTCTACATCAAAACTTAAATACAAAACAGTATTTCATAGAAAAAATACAGTAAATTAATTGTAATATTAAATACTAATATAAGAAATTGAAATACTAATGAATTAACTTTGAATAATAATAATAATGTTTTTTGTTGCTATTATTATTTCACAGAATACAATAATAATAATAGAAATAAAAATTATTTAAAAAAATAATAATATTTATAATTCTGTAATTCTGTAATAATAATAATAATAATAATTGAAAACACTTATACATTGGTTGGTAGACTACAACTACACATATCGTAACCTAGTTTCTCATTTACCGTTTATATAAACTTACTAATACTGTATATATATATATATATATATACGGCTCCGGTATTGCATTTGTAATACAATCACAAATGATTTGAAACACGTTGACCTCAATAGGTAGTCACACAACACAATACCCATAGAATATTATAATTGCAGTATAAATAATATTATTAATATTATATTGCTTTAGATTATTATTATTATTATTATTACATTTGAAATATTTTTACTATTATTATTAATAGTAGTAGTAGTAGTAGTAGTAGTAGTAGTAGTAGTAGTAGTAGTAGTAGTAGTAGTATTGAACATATATATATATATATATATATATCAATAGTTACAATAATTTTTATTTACTATTATTTTCTAATATAAAAAATGTTTTTTATATTTAAAAAATATTTCTCTCTCTCTCTCTCTCTCTTACTATCTCTCTGTTCTATGACTTATGTATTTTATAATATAATCTATTTTATATTACCATAGCCTCCATAAGGTAACACACCGGCACACACACACACACACACACACATCTCCTCCCAATAGCATACCTTACTATAACTTTATTAATAGTATTGATTTTAGGAGTGAATAATAATAATAATAATAATAAATATTGAGAGCACAAACCTGTGAACTAGTGGTACAATGAAAACACTGATAGACAACTGTAAAAGAGAGAGAGAGAGAGAGAAAAGAGAGAGAGACTGAAAGAGAGGACAGTTATATTATTATCGGGTGAACCATAAAAAAATATATTGATGTGTCTGTATGTAAGTGGTGTGTGTGTGTGCTGTATGTGCTGAGAGTTTTTATTATTATTAAATTATTATTATTATTATTTTGTGAACTTTTTTGTTACTCTTGTTGTTGATGTAAAAATCATTTTGTTTGTCGGTTTCAATTAGTTTGCTATACTAATCAACTTTAAACTATTTTTAATGTGTAATCACATACAATATATATAACTGGTTGATACACATAAAGTGCATAATATTTTTTGTATTTTAATTTGACAAACAAAACACTACTCTCTCTCTATCATATATACTCTATTTGTGTGTCTAATTGTTTCAAAAATTGTTTTTATAAACTAATAATAATAATAATAAATAAATTGTTTATTAATATAAAATAAAAATAATTGAATAAAAAAATTTTTTTTCTAATTGTTTGTGCATTCAATTAAAATGTATAGTTTTTTTTGATTAATAAACCAATAAAAAAATAAATATATTATTGTTATTAATAATTAAAATTATTATTATTATTATTATTTAATAAAAAGTTTGCTCAATTCAATTGGCAATATGTTTTCAATTAGTTTGCAATTTACAACTATTATTATTACTAATACTACTACTAGTATATCATTAGTGATATTTACTATACTATTAGTAAATTTAATAATTTAATATAATTTAATAATATTGTAAGTTTAAAATATTTATAAATAAAATTATTATTATTATTATTATTAACTTTTATAATATTATAAATGATAATGTTTGAATTTAAACTATGGTTTGTTTCATATACTCGTAAAAAGTTGATTAATAATAATAATAAATTGATAAATATATAATAATTATTGACAAAAATTAGTGTAAATTTTTTCCAATTATTATCGATTGGTTTTTTTTACTTATTTTTTACTTAAGAAAATAATAAATAAGATATTAAATTAGTTTTTATAATTAAGTTTTCGTCAATTTATTGCATAATAATTAAGTAAAAAGTTTAAATTGTGTTTTGTTTTTTATACTCAAATAATACTACTATTATAATACCCATAAATATAACATATAAACCCAACACTTTATTTACAAATAAATAAATAATTAATTAAATTAATCAAATAGTTAAACAACAACAACAACAACAACAAAAGTGATAAATATCTATGTATTTGTGTTATGTGTCTATCATTTATAATTAACTACTACTACTACTACTACTACTACTATATGTGCGCTTATGTATCACGAGATGCAATGGGATTTTAGGCCAAAGTTTGTTGAACACAGTAGCTATCAAATTAACTCTTCCGCCTACGACCTAAGCACCGGTAGTAACAACAACGGCAACAATGATTATAATAGCCATAAAAACACCGGTATTAACAGCAGTGGTGGTGGCGGCGGTTGTGGCGGCGGTAATGGCATCGGTAACGGTAGTACATGCAATGATGACAACCAATCGGACCGATGCTGTCCCGATTGTCCTATAGAACCGACGGCCAACTATTGTAAAATTGTATTCAAAATAACGATAGTATTTCTGAGTTTTGCCGGCTTTCTCTATCAGGCGACCGATATCTGTACACATTATTTCAGTTATAGGACAGTCGTCTATACGAATACGGAACAGGAGTCGATCATCGATCTACCGTCGCTGACGTTTTGTTTGCCCACTTATTTTACTAAACAAAAACTGGTCGATCTATACGGTCAGCATATTAGCCGCTCAATGGATGAGGCCATACACTATAACCGATCGATGAAGTCGGCCATTGAACCGCTTATATACGATTCGTTTCATGTAAGTGTTGTCTACTGTACATATAGAGGACTATATATATACAGTATATAATGTATATGAAGTTTTACATAAATAAAATAAGCAATATTTTTTTTGGGCACAAATAAAATATTGTATATAAATAATATTATATATTTTGTGAGGGGGTTAGATTGGGGGTTTTTGTGTGGATAAATTATAACTAAAAAATAAATATTTTTAAGAAATTTTTTTATAAATTTATATAAAAAAACTATTATATATTGAGAGAGAGAGAGAGAGAGAGAGAGAATAATAGCAATAAAAATATTTATTGTTAAAAATATACAGTATTTTATAATATATATATGCAATTCATATAGAATTTAATATATTATACTAGTTATCAAATATTCTGTAAATGTAGGAAATGTTTTTTATTATTTCATTTATTATTTTATATATATATATAATATTTCTCTATGAATTGGTTTTTATTGAATTAAATTGTTTGAATAATAATAATAACAAAATTGTTTGATAAATTACTGTGCTGTTAGTTATTCAAAATAATAGTCTATACACTGTATAGTATACAGTAATAATAATAGTAATAATATCATATATAAAATACAGTACATAAAAAAATATACTGTTAGTTAAAAAAAATACTGTATGAGATTGATGGACGGAAAAATTAAGTCAAGTCATCATTGGAATTGAACTCGAGTTGAGTGAACTGAAAATATTATTTTTGTGTGTTTTTTATGTGTGATTAGTCTACGAAAAAAAACATAATCAAATAATTATGTTTAAAATTGAAATTAGTGTTTTGTTTGGATTAGAGAGAGAGAGAGAGAGAGAGAGAGAGAGAGAGAGAGAGAGAGAGAGATTAAAAAGTTAATTATGTTAATACAATACTAATATTGTTTTAATTATATAATTGTCTTAATCGATACACACACACATACATACATACATACATACATACATACATACATACATACATACATACATACATACATACATACATACATACATACATACATACATACATACATACATACATACATACATACATACATACATACATACATACATACATACATACATACATACATACATACATACATACATACATACATACATACATACATACATACATACATACATACATACATACATACATACATACATACATACATACATACATACATACATACATACATACATACATACATACATACATACATACATACATACATACATACATACATACATACATACACATACATACACACACACACACACATACACACACACACATACACACACACACACACAAAATATTATTATTATTACGTGAATAACGTATTGTGTAATGTATATAAAATATACATTCACTAATTACTTTATAATTTTTTATGTATGTATGTATGTGTGTGTGTAGATTTTGTTTTATAATTAGTAATATATATATATATTATTAAACATAATTTTTGTTAACAGTTATTATTTTAATTTATTTTTTTTACTGTACATTACATTTGCAAAATGTTAACAACAAATTGTTTAATGATTGGTGTGTATGTGTGTGCAGTAAAGTGTCATTTAAGGGTAAAATGTTTGACACATGTTTACTGTATATTACAGTACATTTTGTTGTGATTTTTTTAAAAATATAATAATAATTTTAGTTTTTTTGTTGTTAGTTAGTTAGTAATTATTTTGTTGGGGTTAATTAATTTTGATCAACAATAATTATTTTTTGTTGTTGTGGTTACTATTAATATTATATACAGTGTATGTACAGTACATTATAAATTGCAAATTGTAATTTTACTACTATTTACAGTAATATCATTAATAAACCAATTGATAGAAATAGTAGGAAAAAAAATTTGATTATTGAATAGTTTATTGTACTTTTATATACAGTATATACTATACTATATATTATAATATAGTTCATTGTACTCAATGTCCAGTTCATATTAATATATATATAAATATGAATGTATATACTTTTTATGTATATAATAAATAATAATTTATTTTATATATATATATAAATTTATATACTGTTTATATTATAAGTATATTTGTATGGAAAAGTTTCCGTATATATAAACTTTTTTTTGAAGAGTCATTTACTTATACATAATATATATATATATATATAAATTTCACAAACATAAGATACTGTAATAAAAATAATATATATAACGATATAATAATAAAAAAAAGTCATAAAAATAATAACAAAAATATTTTGTTGTTATTGTTATATAAAAACAATTTTCTAATATATAATTAAAATAATTATCTATTTGTTAAATATAATTATTCTATTAATTATTGTAATTATTATTATTATTATTATTATTATTATTATTATTATTATTATTATTATTATTATTATTATTATTATTATTATTATTAGAGACAAGCCTTCAAAGATCTCAACGCCGACCAGATATTGGAAAACAGTATCAAAAGTGTTAACACTATTGAATGCCGGCTCTACTATCCGCCCCTCAATTGGCTTAACCTAACCCATCATCAACTATACGAGATTATCCAATACGGCATTCCCTGCGAGGATGTGGCGGATATTATCGAAAGTATTAATGCAAACGGAAAATGTTTTACATTTTTCAGTCAACTCATGTCCTACGATAATAGCGAATCGTTTAAGATATCCGTGAATAGAGGCTATCGATTTCACTCAGGTATGCAGTAGTGTATACATAGTATTACTGTATATATATATATATATATCGATACATATGTTATGGGGGAATGGTATCAAATAAAACAAAACAAAAAATTGCATTTTTCTAGACTATCGTAAATGAATGATAAAAATTATTTTAGAAAAACTAGAATTTTATTTTTTTTATTTAATTCATTGATTTTTTATTGTGTGTGTGTGTGTGAAGTAGTTTTTATTCAAAAAAAATATATATATTATTTTTATGCTAAACATTTACAGCAATATTTACTGTATTAATATTATTATTATTGGTTTTATTTTATTTTTTTAAAAAAAAATTGCAATGTCTTATGTTGTTACGTGCAATAAATTTTTTAGGTCATATATATTTACATATTGGTATATACTGTATATATATATATATATATATATATATATATATATATATATATATATATATATATATATATATATATATATATATATATTATATATAAATATATTATTATAATAAACTTATATAAGTATCATAATTTAAATTTGTATGTAAATTATTGTAGTATTTCTCAAACTAATATATTATTATTATTAACCGGATAACCGGCGAAATAATCTTAATGTCTTATATAGTATTTATAGTTAATATTTAAACTAGAAATTTATTATGATTTTATCATATAATATATATATATTTATATATACTAATGCATAATAATTGGTAATCAATTTTTAACCTATATTTGCAAAAATATTTTATAATAAACACACACACACTTAAGATATATATATATATAATATATAAATATTTATAAATATTTATTATTTAATTTTTTATTTTTTAAAAAATGCTGAATTTACATAAATAATAATAATACTAACAGTAGCATTTTTTGCCATACATGTTAAAAAATGCATAATATTTTTTTTTAAAAAATAAAATAAATATATTATATAATATATTTTATTATTTCAAAAAAAAAAATAAATATCATAGATTTAACTGTAAAAAGCATTTTTATATAAAATACACTACATTTATATAATGACATACATATTATAGCTATAGTTATAGTTTAACGGTAACAACAAATAAAAAATAAATAAATAAATAAAAAATATTACATTCATTTAATTGTAGGCCTTATTCGTATAAACAGATCAATAATTTCCAGAATTTATTTCAATAAAAAAATAGTTAAAACAAAATATATGAATGAATTTTATTTTTTTTAATAAATCTAAAAGTTATTTTATCTAAGATATATAAATCATAAATTAAAATCAAACATTTAAAGTCAATAATATATATATATACTGTATAACATTAAAAAACTATTAAATTTATATTATAATATACTAATAAATTTAATTTTAACATAAATAATTAAATTTGTAAATTTTAATTAATGTGACACAAAATAATAATTTTTATGAAACTTGTTTTATTGAAACTTTTTGATTGCTAATTATTATTTTTAAAAAAAAGTTTATTGAATAAATTTTAATTATATAATTTTTATAAAAAAAAATAATTCCTTATAATTAATGATTAAATTGTTTGTTTTTATTATTATTTTCATGACACACACCCACCTAAACCACCTAAACCATCGCAGGTCGCTTTATGAAACTGCAGATCCAATTCAATCGGGATGAATACTCGGCCATATCGGATGGCCAACAGCGGGAGTGCATACAAGTTCATCCGCCATTCAAGATACCGTCGGAGGCCTGTCTACACTCCATACAGCCGGGTATGAGCTACGATGTTGTGATAACCAAAACCAAAGCCATACTACAGCCGCCGCCCTACCAGACCGACTGCTATTCCTATCATATTACTCGGGACAGCGACTACATGAGCCGATCGGATTGCATCGATAAATGTATGCTTCGGATATATGAAGAAAAATGCAAATGTTTGCCAATACATATAACCATTTGGCGAACCAATGCTAACCTGAATCTATCGATTTGTAATTACGATGATTTTGAATCGATAGCCGAGTGCTTACAGCAAGAGCTCAGCAATAATTGTTACGATAGGTGTCGACCTGATTGTATAGATAGGTATGGATACACAAAAAAAATTATTATTATTATTATTATTATTATTATTATTATTATTACTATCAATTTTATCGCTATTGTTATTATCATTTTTTGTTGTTGGTATTCATTTAATATATTATTATTGTTATTTAGATTTTTTTTCATCTCTCATTATTGTTATCACTATTTTTTTGAATTACTCTTTATATTTATATATACAGTATTATTGATTATGATATGATTGACTGATATATGTATATAATTTTTATTTAAGGACACACCGAGAATATTCTGTGATATAGAAAATAGACTACAAAATATGTTTTAATCATTTGTTGCAATGTGTGTGTGTATGTGTTTAATATACTTATATTCAAATAGGTATTGGCATTGATCGTTAATTTTATATATAGTATATTAATTTTTATATATTATTAAACTATTTTAGATATTGTTAGATATTAGATATAAATTATTTATTAACATAAATGTGATTATAGCATAATAATTATGCATTATCTATTTAATACACACACATACAGAATATTCTACATTATATATATTTATACTGTATATACTTCCTGTATATAGATATATACTGTGTATATATTTAATATATTTTAATCTCTCTCTCTCTCTCTCTCTCTCTCTCTCTCTCTCTCTCTCTCTCTCTCTCTCTCTCTCTCTCTCTCTCTCTCTCTCTCTCTCTCTCTCTCTCTCTCTCTCTCTTAATCATTAATGACTTGAATAGTAGGTCATGAAAACAAATTCAATGCTTAATATTATTGACTATTATTTTCTTTATTTAATTTATGGATTGACTAATGTGAATTGATAATAAAACAACTATAGATATATACAGTATATATACATATTATATTATACAGTATTATTTATATATAATGTATAAAAGTATTTTATTTTATTAAACTAAAAATTTGTGTTATTTTCTTATTTGACTCAAATATATATATATATATATTATTAGAAGAACATTAAAAATAATATTTATTTTCTAAATTAAATGATAATAATTATTATTAGCAACGATAATATTATTGACAATTATGTTAATATCTCAATAGTTGAAATAGTTTTATAATAAATTAATAATAAATTCAGTATTATTTGATTAATAATAATTATACTGTAGTTATTAGTACAACCTATGTATTATAAAACTAAACATAAATTATAAGACATATTTTCATAACAACTATTAAAAAAAATCACATAATATACCAAAAAACTAATATAATATATTGATTATAAATAATATTCATAGTTTAGAAAATTAAAAAAAAATTAATTTAATTAAACAAGTTTTTTAATCTTATAAAAAAATAATTACATTTAATTAAAAATAATAATAATAATAAGTTAATTAAACTATTATCAGAAATATTTATATAATAATTATGTATTTTACACTAATTTCTAAATAATATATGAATAAATATTTTGTTTGTTTGTTAAAATGTTATTAAATTTCAATGATAATAATAATTATTTTACAAATATTACCCAAAATAAAGCAATAAAACAATTTTATATAATAATAATAATTTATATTTAATTTATAATTAATTAATTTTTTTTATGATAACCGCAGACACTATCACATTGAAGTCGAGAGCCGTACGTATCCGTCGGACGAGCAGATTATGCGGGCCATCGGCGGCGACGGCGAACGGCTAATCAATATGCGCCGATCGGCCGCTACAATCAATATCTGGAGCAACTACCTGAGCGACGTAACCTATGTCCATACGCCGGCCATGTCGCTCATCCAGTTGGTCTGCTATCTGGGCGGTCTGGCCGGCCTATGGCTGGGCGTATCCGTTATGACCGTATCCGGTTGGTTGGCCCAACTCTATCCGTTTCTACAGAAATGGAAAGGCCGTCAGCAGCACCTGTTCCTACACTGTAGGCGCCATTTGCCAGTCGGTAATGTGACAAAGATATCGCCCGACGATCACCTGCTCCTCAATCCTACCGATAATAATAATCATACGCTTCATATAAATTCAAATTCAAATAATATTAATAATAGCGATCGTTATCTGCATCGGCCATCTGTCTGTAGTTTAAGTCAATTTAATCCTAGATTTTGATGGCTTTTATGTTTTATTTATTGATTGATTGATTGATTGTATTGTTGAATGTGTTGATTGAATTTGATTTTCATATTGAATTGAATTGAAAAAAAATCAGAAATTGATTTGTTTTTTTTAGTTGATTTGATTACCAGAAAAAATAAGAAAATTATATATATATAGCAAACAAACAATAATTTTTTTGTTGGTTATAAATAACTAATAACTAAATGAGTTATAAATGCATATAATTTTTGTTTAATAGTAATTTGTAATGGATTTGTCATAATAATAATAATAATAACTAATAATAATAATTAATAAATAATATTTATAGAGATATTGTGAGTGCATTGCATATGTTTGCAAATATTTTTATTTATTTTTTATTTTTGTTTGTTTGTTTGTTTGACTGTTTATTTTTATTAGTATTTTTTACTTAATTTACTAAAATTTAATTTAATAAACTATTGTATATAAAAAAAAATTTCTAAAAAAATACATATTATTATTATTATTATTGTATTATTTCTATATTTCCTAATTAATGTTAATTTTTTTCTCTATTAATTTTTTCCCACAGAAAATGACGCTATTTTTGTGTGACTAAAAAAAAATTTTTAGTAAATCAAAATATTAAATCTATGTGTATATGTGTTGTCTATCTATCTATCTATGTATGTATGTATTTGTCTCTCTCTCTCTCTCTCTCTTTCTCTTAAAAAAAAAGAAAGTTTTGTCCAAAAAAAATAATTTGATACTTAACTATATTTTCAAATGAAATAATAAACAAATAATAAACTTAATAAATATATAAAAACTTAATAATAATATTCTACAGTAATAAACAACTAATTACACCAAAAAAAAAACAATACAATTTAACAATAGATATGATACTAAACTGTAATATATTTATACATAATATGTATATATTTCAATGGATTTGTCTCATATTTTTTTTGGTGGTGACGGCATCGATAAAATATATGTGTAACCAATGTATAGATATTGTGAAATATATATACAGTTTATATATACAAAACAAACTATTATTGAAAAAAATATCTAATATTCAACCGTTAAAATGATGGCTTGTTTTTTCCAACACCTCAAGAGATATAATAATCATCGATCAAAATATATATATCTATATATTATTTGTTTGTTTTTTTTATTTTATTTTTTTTGTTATTTAATATCAATTGATATTCAAAATAAAATATGAAATGAGATTTTTTAAAAGTAACTTATTATATATAGTAAATTATGACAAAAAATGTTTTATTTAGAGAAAAAAATTTGTATTATTATCACTATTATTATTATTATATATAGACTAATATAATAGCTAATTGTAATATAGTTTGTATAATTAGTATTTTTCAATTGATAATGATAAAAACAATGATAATATATTACTATACAAATATCACTATTCAATAATAGGCATCACTTAATATAATAATAATAAAAAAACACTACTTAATAAATATTCAAATTTTTATCTACATATATATATATACAGTATAGCAACTTATATAAAATTATATTATACATTAATTTTTTAAATATATATATATTAAATTTTTTTATAGAAAAATGCAATGTTTTAATATAAACAAAAAATAAATTATAATAAACAAAAGTATTTTTTAAAATACAAGTACTCACTATTAATTATAAATAATAATATTATAATTTTAAAAAATGCATAATTTTTTTAGGTTTTAAATAATTAAATTATTAATAGAAAATATTACAATTATATTTAAATAGTATTTATATTGATTGTTATTATTAAATATTATAAGATACACACATTTTTTGTTTGTTTGTTTGAAATAATTTAATTTATTATTATATTTAGTATAATTTACATAAAAATAATAGTAAAAATGTAATGTAAATAATATGAATAATTTTTTCTTTACATATATTATGATTATAATAATAATAATAATAATAATAATGTGATTAAATTAATAAGCCATTAGTCCTTGATCTCATTATCTAATGATAAAAACATTGTCTATAAATTAATATATAGACTATAATAATATATAAAAATATTTTAATTATCGACTATAGTTTTATTTTCTAGTAATTATAACAACAATAACAATAATAATAATAATAAATAATTAATTTAGACCAAATAATAAAACTTATGTAATAAAGTTTTTTATATATATAAAACATGGTTAATTTATCAAGTTAAAAATAAATGCAATAAATAAAATTATTAATTACTTATTATTATTATAACTATATAATAATGTGATAGCTATTGTTTGTACTTAAAAAATATATTTTAAATTAATTATTATTTATTAATAACAATCAATATTATTCACAGCACTTATTTATATAAGTATTATATATATATATATATTTAAAAAATATTTAAAAAATTTTACACAAATTGATGACTATGTACTATACATTATATACTAAAAAAATAATTTTATCATTTTTGTTTTGTTTAAAAAAAACAAATAAAATTATTAACTATTTTATTAGAGCTTTAGCTGTGATACAAATTGATTAATTAATTATTAATAATAATAATTATATAACTATTACTTTGATTATATAATAATTGTATTTAAAATAAATAATTTAAACACAAAAAACAATTGTGGTAAAAGCAAATAATAATAATTTATTATAATAAAATTACTTTCAATTATTGTATTTGTAAAATTTTTGTTTGTTATATTTTATTTCAATAAAAAGCAAATAATTTTTAACAATAATAAAATTGTAAATTATTTAATTAGATGTTAAATAAAATAAAATAAAATATTATCCAATTATAGATATTTGATTTAGTTTTTTTTTAAATAGTAGGTTATTATATAGTTAATAATAATTATAAATTAAAACTCTTTTTTAAAAATATATCATAAAATAGTATATACTGTATATAATTTTCATTTGTATTTATTATTCAAATTAAATAATTCATATGTTTTATTTTTGTTGATTTTAAATCAAATATATATATAAAAAATAATTTATATATTATTAACAGACTAATTTAATTATATTATATTTATTGAATTAGATTTAAATGCATGTATAAAAAAAAAGTTATACATAAATAATATATTAATAAATTTGTTGTTAACAAATTTTTTAGTTAATAAAAATTTTAATTAATAAAAAAAAATATAATAAATTACTTATGAATATCTTTATTAACAATAACAAAAATAATTTATAAACAGATATTATATATATATATTAATATTATTTAAATAAAATTATAACCATACAAATAGTCTATAAAATGATACTGAATAATCAATTAGTGAAACAATAATGAAAATAATGGCTAATAATTCAAACCAATAGCTTTGTGTTTTGTTGTCCGATTTTTTCAGTTTGTTAGCCGATTCATAGCGTCGACCGGCCGAAAACTTTTTAAGTACAATAGTTTCAGTGTACAGGAGATACCGTTTCTGTATATATAAGTTTGTATACAATTGTGGACAGTAGCGGCCATAGTATTCAATGTAGGCATAGGTATAGTGATTGTCGAGACCTAATTTCATAGCAAAATCCGGATAACCTTCATATGTCTGGACCTTCTGGAGCAGTGCCTGGGTCTGACCGATGGACGTATCATTCAGTGGCCAATGATTATTATGTGACCTCATTTCGGTCAATTCGTTTAGTATGCGCCTAAACATTGGCCTAACCGTCCGAATCCATTGTTTAATACTTTCCAATGTCATCGACGGTAACCTATCGATGGTGTAGTCGGCCGGCGACTCCAGACGATGGATCTGAACGCCAGCTATTATATACAGACTATAGAAATAGTTAAGATATATCCGATCGGATAGTTTCAGACGTTTGGATATCTTAAACATTAGTTTATCATCACTTAGCAGTTCCGCTAACTTCTGGTCGTTTGCTAACAACAAGTCGTGTGTCTTATAGATATCCTGTATATAATTATAAGTGGTTTGATTGTCATCATCATTGTTATCGCCATCACTGGCGGATCTATTGACAAATTTATGCCAAACTATTTGATTGAATTCACTGAATGCTAGTCTCCATGCAATCCAATGATCGTTATTTTCGGGCGGTTTGGGTATCATTAGATGCAAACGGTTTATATCGCCAGTTGTTAGGTTCACGGGTACAGTATATGTATAGTTATAACTAGTTATTGGATTAGCAAATAAGCCAACAATTATTATAGTCGTCCACAATCTGGTATATGACTTATTAATACATAAATTGTTATCAATAAAAAACATTATTTGAATTTTTTCAGGTATTTTATATTATTTTTTTGTGTTGAAAAAACAAGTTTTAACTGCTAATTGAATTACATATTACATACAATATACTATTTGAATTGTATTTTTAGATTTCAAATAAAAATTAATGTAATTTTTGAATATTTTTTTTAACGAGACCTAATTTAATTATTAATAATTTATAATATCAATAATTTTAAAAAAAACTGTTATAAATTAATAACTTAATTAAATAATAGATTTATTTAGCGAGCATTTACTACTACCAACTATGATATAATAATAATACATTTCTATGAATTAACAAAAAAAAAAATAAAATTATTGTTTAATATATTAAAACAATATTTACAATTGACAAAAAAAGTCATATAAATAATATGTATTTTCAGTTAATATTTTTATTTTTTGGTTTTATCTAAATAAATAATTTTTGTTTATAATGTATACAAAAAAATTTTTTAGACACCAACAAAAAGTTATATTCAATATAAATTTATCAAACATTTTGCTTATATATATATATCCCGGTATAAACTTTTTCCCGATTGTAGAGTTGCCATATGATACCGGGTAAATAATCAGGGTATTTTTTGAAGCATTGTTTATACATTTTAAAAAAATTATATATATATATATATATATATAATGATAGATAAACTTTTTGTTTCCAGATTTAGCAATTTAAACAATTTTTGTGTTTTTTTTTATTAATAACATTTGTGATTATAAGATAGAGCCACTATACTAAAAATAATAATATATATAAATCTACAGTATATTAATTTGTACTGATAATATGATGATAATGATATAATATAGTTAAAATTAAAAAATTGTAATTTTATAATTTGTAATAATTTTGTGTAAAAAAATTATTATAAATTTCTATTTAAAAAACAAATTAATATTGAATATAATTTAAACGTTTTTAAACATATATATTTATATTTATTATTATGCAGTTATGTGTTTAAAAAAAATATAAATTTTACAATAATTTCAATTTAAAATTCTAGATAATTTGTATAATTATCTACAAAATTAAAGTATATTTATAATATATAATAAAATTATAGTTAATTATATATATTTTTTATAATACACTTTGAATAAATAAAAATTCATAAATAAATATTTTGTTTACTTAAAGAAAAACAATTTAATAAATAACATAATAATATAAGTAACAAAAAAATTATTTTATTTTATTTTTTTGAAATACTAATATTAAATTAATTATGCAATTTTTTTAAGTAGTTAACAATTAGTTTGTTTGTTTAAAACTATAAAATATATAACTTATAGAATTATATAAAATTAAAAATTATAGTCAATCTATCAATAAACAAATTTTATATTTATAAAAAAATATGATAAAATAAAAAACCAATTTTTCAACAATAATATTGATTTTCTATTGAAAAACAAGTGTCAATATATATAGCTAACAAAATATTTAGTTGCTTTAGGATATATATAATATACTGTATATAAAATATATTATTATTATTATTATTATTATATATTATATATTGTTAAATTTCTATTGTATTAAACTATATATATTTTTACTATTTTTAGATTTAGTACAGTAGGTATATATATTAATATTATATATATATATTCAGTAAACTTAACAGAAAAAAAGTTTAGTAACTGATTGTATCAGTGAAAGTGTGTCTCAATTGTTATAATATAGATATAAAGTGTTTGTTAAGTTAGTTCAACACATATAGTAGCGATAAAGTCAATGTTATATTAGTCTATATTTTTAATATTTCATGATATTGTTGTATAGTGAGTGTGTGTGTGTGTGTGAGTGAGTGTGAGTGTGAGTGTGAGTGTGAGTGTGAGTGTGAGTGTGAGTGTGAGTGTGTGTGTGAGTGGGTGGGTGTAAATAATATATATATTTTATATATAATTTATATATATATAAAAGTGAATTCAGATTAAATTAAGTGTCAAAAGTAACACATTTTGACATAAAATTGAATAAAATACAAAAATAAAAATGTAAAATAAATAAAAATAAAAAAAAACTGTTGACGATAGAAATTGTATTTTCAATTATTTTTAATATACTTTTAAAAATATATTATTTTAAAAAAATATGAATCCCCAAAAAAATGAGATTTACAAATTTATAGAAAAATATATATATATCAATATAATTGATTTTATTTATCTATAAAAATAAAAATATAAATCTATAGTTTGTTAGAAATAAATTTGTTTAATTTTTTTTACTAGAAATTTAAATTCAAATAAATTATTATTTAAAACAAAAATAAAATCTGTAAAACAGTTTTATTGTATGTTATATATGTTAAGTATTTACGATAACAACAACAACTATAATAATATTAATAATAATAATAAATATAGTAATGTTTTAACTGTTTTATAACTATCCACTAAATCATTATAATTATTATTATTACGCAAGACTCGAAAGCACAGGGAGTTATAAAGTGAATGAGAGATAGAGAGAGAGAGAGAGAGAGAGAGAGAGAGAGAGAGAGAGAGAGAGAGAGAGAGAGAGAGAGAGAGAGAGAGAGAGAGAGAGAGAGAGAGAGAGAGARAGAGAGAGAGAGAAAGAGAGAGAGAGAGAGAGAAAGAGAGAGAGAGAGACGTTAAGCACAAGTATGCGATTGAATAGTTAGAGCACTGTTTAGAGCATTCACTTGATATGTAATGTTCCGCCAGTTCTTTATAATCATCAGTAGTGTTGTTGTTGTGAAGGAAATGCTGAGAGCATCTCATCGTTGCTAACCTAACCTAACCATACATTACAAGTACAGTACAGTACTGTTGTTGGCTTTAATTCATACCAGTGTTCAGTTTCGTTAGATCTTAGTCGACGTCGACGACTACTATTTTTTATATATATATAGAAACATTGCTATACTTTAATATAGCAATTGATTTACTGTTCACTTATCCGTAAAATGATATCAAATACATCGTTCACTTCTATCAACAGTTAGTATATATATATTTAAACAGTTAGTATATAAATATATATATAAGTCTCTCTCTCTCTCTCTCTCTCTCTCTCTCTCTTTAAATATTTATCAATTTATTTATTATATGTGAAAATATATCAAAATAAAAAACATAATTTTGCAAACTTTGATTGATAAAAATCTCTAATATATATATATAAATATATATATATATATATATATATATATATATATATTTATAGATAGATAGATAGATAGATAGATAGAGAGAGTTATTTGTATATTAAATGATATAACAACAAGTAATTATGTCTTTTTTTATTCATTACAGATATCAACAACAAAATTATTGGTCACATAAAACACAACTATAGTTTTTGAACAAAAATTTTTTTAAACAAAAAATATTTTTGTTTATTTTGTGTAAAAACAACAATATATTTGTCAAGAAAAAAAATTATTGAATACAATGCAGAATATTCTGTATTGACTAACACAACAACATTGACAACAAGTGTAAAGAAAATATTTTTTTTCTTAAATATTTTATTAACCATTGAATTCCGGGTAATTCCTTATAATAACTGACACACAAACAAATAAAACCAAACCTAACAAATAAATCTATTGGCAATGAATAATACATAACTAATGTGATAAATAATTAATTTTTTTGTTTAGCGATAACAAAAAAAAAATAATAGTAACAAAACTATAGCTATGTTTGGTTATGTTTGTGTAAGTGTATATAAAATACAGTAATCATTAATTTGTGTCGTTTTGAAGTTTTTTTGTTTGTGTCAACAATTAATTGCTACTAAAATATATAAACCAACAAAATAATTATCAATTTATTTATCTGGAAATTGTAATAATAATTATAAAACTGTACTAATATTGTGGCACAGACATCTCATAAAAACACACACACATACACACACCCCAACTACCATCACTAACACCACCATTATCATCATGATATTAGCACTGTCACAAAAAACTAACCGTGTGCGCGGCAACATATTGATACCGTTTTTTATATTGCTATTTGTTATGGTGACCGTCGGTGTAGTCATATTATGGCTGAGCAAAACAAAAAGTTGACAATTTTTTTTGATTGTTTGTTTGTTTGTTTCTAACAGTTATAATAACAGATTAATAGATATTAATATTATCCAATAATAATAAGTACAATATATATACTGTACTTATACCTGTATATACCTGTGCTACTAATGCCGACGACAGTATTTATCAGGCAATGTATGCCCCTATATATATGTTGGTTATGTCTGTCCATACATATATACACACACACACACACACAAAAAAAAATCGCAATTTAATATAACGATGTCTTTTTGGATGTGATTAACTATGTGTGTGTGTGTTTGAGTGGATGATAATGTCGTCTGGAGGGGGAGGGGATGGGGAGGAGGAAATAGACTCCCTGTTTATAATATAATATTTAATGGGTTAGGACTTTGAGTTTTAAGGTCATTGAACATGGATTGTGGTGATGGTATAGATAATAGTAGTAGTGGTAGTAGAAATTATGGTCATCCTCAATGCTATTTGATATTTTATTAACTAACAAGAAAAACAAAGTGTCAGCTCAGGTATGTATTTAATTTTTTTTTGTTATGGTTATATCATTAGTTATTAAATAACTTTCAGTATATGAGTACATAATATCTAGTTTTTTTTAAATAATAGTATTTATATATGTTTTTAATTGTATTGTTTGATGAATGAATGAATGAAATATAAAGATTATTAAATTTCAATATAAATTATATAATATTAATATATTATTATTATTATTATTATTATTACAGTAAATAATTGAAACGTTTAAGTTATCGATTTCAATGATGAGTTTAATTAAATTAGTTTTAAAAAATATGCTATTAGAAATTTATGTGTCTAAAAAATGTATAAATTTTAATATAATATTTTTATTAAAATATTTTCTTAAATAATTATTATTTTACAAAAAAATATCATATTTCTAGTATTATATAATATCGTATAACATAATAGTTAGTACAACATATATTCAATTATTATTGTAATATTTTCTACTGTATGTGTGTATGCTTTAGTGATTTAAATCGACTATAATTTTAATATATTGTATATTAAATATATAAATATATATATATATATACAATATATATATATATTTAATATAAGATATATTAATTTTCCGGTATATTATAGTTACATGCACTTTTGATATTTGAAAATATTGCATAATTTTAGCATAAATATTATTATTATTATTACTGGGAAAAGCTTTTAATAATTACAATACGTAATGTATTTTTAACATAATAAGTATTTAATATATATATATATATATATATATATATATATATATATATATGCTGTATATATAATATACTTATAATATATATTATAAATATAACAAAATATTAAAATTGTAATTTAATTTCAATTGCAATTAAAAATTTAAAAATATTCTTGAATTAAATATTTTTAAAATATATATTTTTTCAATTATATTAATTTTCTTAATATAGTTTAGCATAAGTTTTTTAAAAAAAATAATAACTTATCGTATAATTGTTGAATACATTAGTATATGAATAATATTGTAGTAATTACAGTATATTTATATGCAAATAATATAAATTTAATTTATAAAAATAATTGAATTTTGTTATTAAATAGATAATGAAAAATAACAACAAATTTTTTTGAAACTTGTTTTGAAAATAAATTAGGATTAATTTTTTATATAGTGATTAATTAAATATTTATACAAACTATACAATATATTATAAGATTATACTATAAAATAATTTATTTATCATAAAATACTATACGATTTTCTCAATTTTCACTGTTTTTTTATAATATATGTTAATTCATATTATTAAATATATTTATTTTTTGTAGTTAAAACTATTATTAGAATTATAATAAAATTTTAAAACTTAATATTAAATTAGAAATAATAGCAAACAAAACTACTTAAACAAACATAAAAATATGTAATAATTGAAATAATAAGTGCTTTTATAATCTCTAAATTTATATATATATATATATAAAAGATATTTTTGTCTCATTATATGTATTTTTATTATAATTATATAAGCATTTAATATTATATCACTAAGAAAATGCTTGTTTTATATGTAAATCTTTAAATATAATCTTTTAATTAAACATTTATTATATATACATGAAATTATCTAAAGTGTTTAGTTAGTGAGTGAATGATTGAGTGAAAGAGAGAGAGAGAGAGAGAGAGAGAGTAATGAATTAAAGTATATAATGATTTTGTTATTTGAATAATAAAAAAAATTAATCAAAAAAAATAATAATAAATTGTTTTAGAGATTTCTATTATTAAACAAATTATTTTAAAAGATTAAATTGTTTTTTTTCAGTACAATTGAAATATAAAAATAATTAAAAAAAAGTATATTAGATTACAATCTCTTAAAATTTTGTTTTTATTAATTGTTATATTAATAAAAACGATAATTGAAAAAGTTGTAAAAATAGTTGCAAAAAAAGTATATGACTAACATTTTTTTGTGGAAAATTAAATGAAAATTATTATCTAAATTTATAAATATTTTAAACATAATTTATATTGATAGATATTAACAAAAATTATTATTAATAATTTATTTACAAATATAATATATATATACAGTATTATATTTGACATATTATAATAAGATTAGTTAAACATTAAATTATTTTTGGTTAAGCTAAATATAATAAACATTGCTAACCTCTAATTGAAACAATATATTAAAATTATGATTAAAACATATTTATTTTTATAACAAAATAACAAATTATAAATAATAATAATGATATTAATGCCATCATTATAGTGAACTTTTTTTTAAAAAATAACAATAATAGTTAATAATATAATTAATTTATATTACATATTATATAAATATATTATTTATTATTTATCATACTATATATAAATATATCTATTTGTTCATAACTTATAACATATCATAAGTATAACTGTATTTATGTCTATATATATACAGTATATATATATTGTACAGTAGTTATTGAAATATATTATAAATAGAAAACTAGATTTTAAATAATATATTTATTTATTGTAAAATCTATACACTAGTGTATTGGAGCAAATTGTAAATAAAATTCAATGATAATATAAATTTATATACAGTATATAATATATATATATATTATTAGCAATTGATTTATACAATATATATAGATTTTTTATTATTATTTATATGTTTTTATTTAAAATCAAATATACAGTATATACTGTACAGCTTTGTATATATTGTATAATAAATAAATAAATAAATGCATAAAAACATAAATCAATAGTTATTTGAGGGCGCACTTAGTTTTTTTTAAAAAAAATGTCATTAAATAATTGTTTAAAGAAAAATATTATTAAAAAATATTGTAATTGTTTTTAAAAAAAATAATATTTGATGTAAGAAACTAAAAATATTTATTCACTAAAATATATTGATTTTACTTATATATATCTTTAAGTAAAATACTTAAAGATAACAGTATTTTCAACATATATTATATATTAATATATATGTATATATAAAGTAATATATACAGAAAATTTGTCTCAGTTTTTATTTTAGTTTTGATTTTTGTTACAAATAATAAAAAACAATATATAAATAAAAAAAAAGATTTAACAAAAATTCCAGGAAATTCTTACCGCAGAATATTCTTTATTTTTATTGTCTCTCTTTTACTATTTGTTTGTCTTTTAGTTTCTTACTTATATACTGTACAAACACATACATACATACATACACACACATACACACACATACACACACATACATACACACACATACATACACACACATACATACATACACACACACACATACACATACATACACACACATACACACACATATACACACACATACATACACACACATACACACACATATATACACACACACATATATACACACATACATATACACACACATACATACACACACACATATACACACACATATATACACACACATACACACACATATTTACACACACATATATACACACACATATATACATACACTAAAAGATATAAAAAAAGCATTTTCCTTGAGATTCAGTTGAAATTAAACTAAGATTTTTGTGGATAAAACTCAAACAGTCAGTCAACTAGTATTTACTGTTAGGCTTAACAAACAAAATAAAATTAAATATTTGTCGCCCAATAACTTTATATTATATGTATAAAAGTGTGTGTGTGTGACAAACAGATATAAAAAAATAATCATAAAAATAGATTTAATTAAATAAATGAGTTTCGATTTGTTTGACATTAAAATAACAAAAGTGTAAATAAAATTAAGTTTTAAATATTAATTTTATTTCCACTTTAGTTCCTATTAAAAATTTTCATAAAATTATGCTAATTTTATGAAAACTACAGTAATATTAATGATATTAATCAATAGTTATGTTAAAATCAATAATAATAATAATAATAACATTAGTAACGTTAATAAAAATGGTTTTATTAATATTATATTAATATAATTATAGCTTTCGGGCATTTATTGTTATTATTGTTAACTTTTGGTATATTAAACATAAAATTTTATAATTATTATTATTATTTGATTATTATTATTAATATTTGTATTATTTTGAAATTTTTAAATAAAATTTTTAGTTAATTTGTTTGATATTTTATATATTTAAATGTTAAACAAAATTTGTTGAATATTTAAATTAGATATTTTTATAAAATGATATTTACAAAATTATTTGTTTATTTTAGTTAATATATTTATGTTAATTCAATGTTTTTTTTTGAAAATTAATTAATTAATGCATTTTATATACTAACAATTACTTTGTAACTGAAAATATGTTATTAATATAAATAATATTTAAAAATAAAGTATTATGAAATTAATAGTTAAAAAAAATATTTAATAACACAATTTATTTTATTTTACTTAAAAACATTTTTATTTTTATCTACAATTAGTAAATTAATTAATTTTATTTATGTGTTTTATCTATATATATATTTTTCAAAAAAAAATTGTAAAAATTAGCAAATTAACATCTACTGTATAACAATATATTTAACAATTAAACAATAATTAGACTAAAATTACATTACAGTAGTAGTAGTAGTAGTAGTAGTAAAATGTGAATTACTTGTTAAATACAGAGTAATATATATATATATATATAAATTAGTGTTGTATCGTATAATTATTTGTATAAAAATAATAAAAATAAAAATGTTTAGTTTAATCTATTTGATGATCACATTAATGCCAAAATAGATTTAGTGATACAAAACTGGTAATTATTGTTTTTTACTAAAAAAAATATTTTCTTATTATATCAAATCCTTTATATAATCTATATGAATATATATACTTTATATACATTTCTATTATTTTGTTATAATTATAAATTTCTATATATAAATATACAATAGTAAGTGGGCGAGTAATTCAATGAATATATCCAAGTTAATGAGAGAGAGAGAGAGAGAGAGAGAGAGAGAAATTAATTAGTATTTATACAAAAAAATTAATACTAATTACATATCTATATAACA